CGCTTTAAGGCCCTGATTCTTTCATACTGAAATAAGGACAAAAAAATATAAAGCAAAAATGAAGAATTATATGAAGGGAATTTAAACACAAAAAATATAAAAAACAATAATAGCTAATTGAATCTAAAAGGCCAATTCGAACAAATCTTCAAAAGAGATAGCAACTCTCATTGCATAAAACAAAATACAGATTGCACTACCACAAACTGATAGCTTCATTGAAAAAAATACAAGAAAAGAAAAGAAACAAAACATCTTCACTAATCAATGACATATTAAGTGTAAGAGATTAATAAGTAATATAAGAAAAGCACATAGAATGACAAAAGCAAAAGCACTAAAACTTCTAAAGGTGGTCAGATATTTGTTTTCCTAAGATAACTAATCAATAACAAGCAAAATAATGACCATCCATGAACAGGGAGTGGCACAACATTGACATATCAAGACTGACAATAGAAAACTCTGATTTTGGACTATAGCGGCACAAGATTGGTAACAATCAATAAAAAAAGGTCAGCTGAAACGCAGAATGAGATCTAAAATGGAGGAAGTGAAGCTTGGCATCATAGTCATACGGATCTCAAGATCAGACGCAGCCACCAACACAACACATACCTTGCAGAAATAAAAATGAGGAATAATACACGGCCTACAGAACTAAGCAACTAGCCACATACAAGTTTCACTATTAGAATTAAAAAAACAAGTGAAACTGAATAGAGAAAGAAATAGACATGATGGACAGATGGTACAAGGAAACATACATCTTTCAAATACTGCTCATACAAAGTTTTATTGAACCTCTGAACAGCTGAATCATCAGATGAAAAATCCTAAAAATGACCAAAAACAAACATTATAACTAAAATATGTGATACAACTGAACAAATAAAAAAAACTTACCTCAGATAACATCTCAACATCAGAACTTAATTTATCACCAAAAGAATCATCATTAACATATTGAGAACACATCACATCATCACTCTGACTATCTTCTAAATCAACAAAATCATCTTCAGAACATAAACCAGCAACTCGACGCTTTTTTGACCTCTAGTATCCATCTACAAACACAAAAAGAATCAAAAGGAGCAAAATAAGAAGTAAACTCACACAAAGGATAGTCATTGTAAAAATACTACAAGCTAATACATAAGGGAGAGCTACAAATAGAGATCAGTAATGATTTTAAACATGATTGCTTCACAAGTGACTCACAAAGGCAAACTAAAACAAAAACATACTTAAACTCTAAATAAGATGTAATCAACTAAACCTGAACTTAAAATGGAAATAAATTATAAAAACATGGACCTGAAGTAAACATAGAAGCTAAAGACAATAAATGAAAAAAGGGAAATCAAACCTGATATAACAAAACATATTTCATAAACTGAAACTCTGAATATTAACTAAAGTAACAGCTACAACACTGAAGCCTGATACAAATTGAACTAGAAGTATATTAAAATAAAAATGAAATCAAACATGATATAACAAAACAAATTTCATAAACTAAAATTTTGAAAGTTAACTAAACTAACAGCCAAAAAAATGAAGCCTGAAACAAAATTGAACTAGAACTGATTTAAAATGAAAATAAGATCTACTAAACTTAACCTAAACTTCAGTTGAACTAAAACTAAAAATAGATTATACTGAACAAAAATAAATGTCAACTACAACTAAAAATAGATTCTATTAAACTAAACTTGAACCGAAAATAGGATGTACTCAACTTGTACAAAACATAAACTGAAGTAAACATAGATTCTAGTTGACCTCATACTAAAACTGCTACTGAACCAGAACCTAGAGCATCAAACAACATGAAATAGATCAATCAACCATTACAACACATTCAACATATCAGCACAACACACAAAACAACTCAACACATAGCTGCACAACGAAAGGAAATACAGAGAAAAGAATAGAGAAACTAATACCTTATACCAGAAGCCGATCTAATCTCCAGACAAATACAATAACTAAAGAACAGGACATCGTAGCTCCAAAATGACCGACAAAACCACAAAGATATAGAAATGAATTTGGTCAGAATAAAACATAAACAGATACAATCCAAATCCACAGCAAAAAAATAAAACTATGAACATAAATGAACGACCCCTAGCACCGTGGATGATCCAAGCTCTGGGTCAGCAGCAAACCTCAACACGAACATATCAGAGACAGCCATAGAAAAGGGGAAGAACAGCATTTGACCAAATCGAAGAAAATATAACGACACAGGAGACTCCGAAGACATGCATACAACTCAAATAGCTCAGATACATGGAACTAAAGAAGAAATGAAGGGACAAATCACGAACCCTAGCGCCGAATCCCCGATACGCCTCGCGTCGCCACCAGTCGCTTCTTCGAGATCCACAAACAGATGAGGAAGACGACACAGGAGATTCATAATACATGCATACAACTCAAAATAGCTCAGATTCATGCAACTAAAAGGAAAAATCGATGAAGAAATCATGAACCCTAGTGCCGAATCCCCAAGACGCCTCGCATCACCTCGCATCGCCCCTTCGAGCTCCACTGATAGAAAAGGAAGACGAAACGTAGGCGGAAATGAAGCGGCGGACGCGAGGACTCCGTTCCAAACCAAAAAATAAGGCGCGACTCCCAAAAATCAAAACAGTAGGCGCCGACAAGATGGACCCACATGTTAGACACAGAGCAAAGCAAATGAAACACAGACGGCGCAGATGAGAGACAGAGAGATCGGACGGCATCCAGAATCGAGTGACAGATGCCAAAAGATTGCTCAAGTGAGCAACATATTTTCTGTATAATTTTTGTGAATTACAAAAGCACAGACGCATAGGCACACATGCCTATGAATACTCTGCCCCTCGCGTTGCCTGCTTGACTCTCCTTTACACCATTTTGTCAACTGGAACTACGGTGGGTTTTCAACCCCCTGGGTTAGCTCGGGGAAAAAATGCACTGCATCGAATCCGATGATTTGCTTGCAGGCTCGGAATTGAAAGGTTCCCGTTCCAACATCCAGAAAGGGTCCGAACCATGGAGCTTGTACACCGTCCCAACTCCCAACTCTAGCGACAAGGACGCTGATTTACTCGGACAGCCCATATTGATCCGGTCCAGGCGTTGACGTTCGATGTCAAGCGAATGTGAACCCAAGTGAACAAACAGCCAAACGGGTATTCACGGACGGAAGTATATGCCCGCGTACGAGGAGGGTTGTTCCTGAATTTCCAGTCCCGCCCGTGGCCCGTCAGCCCGTGTCACACCTCTGATATCTCACTAATCCTCGTCAACTGCATCGGCTGGAGCCCGGAGGGTGTTTCGCAAAGCAAGGGATACTTCGATTCTTCCCTTCATGTCTTCGATAGTAAACGGGTGCGATAGCTACGAGGCACCGCCGGCGACAGGTGAGAAGTCAAGGTTTCCAGAACAAACTAGTACGTAGAGCAGGGCCGTCTCAATAATTTTGAGGGCCCTCGTGCAAAGAACAAAGGGCCCGGCAATCTAATATTTTAATATGACGATTCAAATACTGAAATACATAGTACTACTAATAAGAGATAACTTGCAGCATATATTTAGTTCAATAAAAAATGACATTACATCAAATCGAAGAAGCTAAAAGAGCTGTAAGATAACTATTGTGGTTACCTCAAATGTAGTGTTTTAGTGCTTTTTAAAAAACCGCCTTCGGGCATTTCCTGATGCAAAATCTTCAATAACAATATCGAGATCAATTTTATCTAAAATATCCTTCTCAATGCTGCACATAGCCAAGCCATTTAATCTTTCTTATAGCATAGTTGATCTCAAACAATTTTTCAATAGCTTTAATTTAGAGAAGCTTCTTTCGGCTGATGCTACTGTCACAGGAACAGTTAAGAGAATCCGATATGCAATAGAGACATTTGGATAGCAATCTAAATCTTTAATAAAGTGAAGAATCTCAAGTGCTGACATTAATTTATCTGGCAAAGTAACTTGCAGCACTTTCAATTCAGAGAAAAAATCATCTAACTCAACATCAGACTTGTTGTCATGAGAAAATTTGTTTACAAAAGTGGTGCAACACTTTTGTAGATCAGTAGCATCCAAGGACTTCAGATTTTCCGAGTTGAACAAGAAACCAAATATTTCTTCAAAATTCTTTAGCTGATCAAATCGACTAGTCAATGAAACAATTGTCTGGTTGATTAAATCGACTAGCTGATCAAATCGACTAGTCAATGAAACATTTGTCTGGTTGATCATGTTCCTGCCTCTGATCTTGAATGACTCCGGCATTTCTTGAACTTGAAAAAAACTTATGTATAGCACCCTTTTGTGATTCTTTCGATTGCTCTTCTAGTTTTCTTTTTTTCCTTTTCTCATAACCAGACAAATGTTTTTTTGGCGGCATCTATCATTTACAAAAAAATATATTTCAATTAGAATTTAGAAATTAGATCCCTACGACTGATAACTGAACTAGAACTGAAAATTGGCAAATGCAATCACTTACTGCTAGGTGCTGGCCACAGAGTCACGGAGTCACGGCCAGAGTGCCTAGTGCCGAACTGACGAACTGAATCGAAAAAAAAAGTGATCAGGGACAGGGAGGCTAGAGGATGGAGATGGAGGCCAGACGCCCATACCCGAACGTGCTGATCCTGATCGTATATTAGTATGCTATTATAGTATTATCGTATACCTGCTGACGTAGTGACGTGAAGCCGTGAAGGACTGCAGCAGCAGCACAACAGTACAGCACGGCCCTGGCGACGAGCAGACGAGGTCACCGTGCCCGCCGGCCGCCGCCCTCAATCTGCCGTGATTCCCGCGAAGAACGCAAAGGAAGTCGTGACTCTGATCGCAAATCGGAAGGGTCGCTCGCGAATAGGAAGGGTCGCCGTCATACGAAGCGATCGAGCGCACCAGCAAATAGACTCAGAAAGCCTGTATACCTGTAGTATAGAGGGGTATACTCATGGGCCCCCAACGCCATGGCCCCCCGGCCGTCGCACCCCCTGCACGTACCTTTAAGACGGGCCTGACGTAGAGTAGTTCCTTGTAAGTAACTGGAGACCCATTGGCCATTAGTTAACCGACGCAAGAACAGTTCAAATCGTTTGTTAATCCAAGGCGTTGGTAAACAAGGAGTGCTAGTACTCATTCATGTAACAGCAATTGGAATTTGGAAGAGAGAACGAAAAGGATGTGAACCATATGTGGTGCCGTGTGGGAACACATCCGCACTGTGCTCGAGCGCATACAGCAGTGGGGGATCGACCGGGTCTCCGCCGCCTCGCTTTCAGCACCCGTGCGCGTTGCCCTGGCAACACCTACCGTACCATTTCACTCGCGTTGGTTGTCGTCAACGGCGGTTTGGAAGCAGCGATCTCGTCATTACAGCCTTTTTGTGCAAAGCAGAAGATGTCCTAGTCAAACACAGCTTGTCCTCACGCACCTCATCTACTGGTTCCTAGCTGTCTCAAGAGACGACGAGTCTCCCGGCTCCTCCGCGTCCAGCATCCTTCTGCTGATCCGGCTTCACGTCTCAGGACGTGGACGGACCCCGGGGTTTCTTGGAACGGAGGATCTGAGCAGGGCAGGGCAGCGAATTCCCGTCCTATTTGAGATCAGTGGATGAAGAGGTGGAGGAGAAACCAAGAGAATTCTTAAAAGTTTGGCGGGTCTAGGTATGCCTCTCGATCGGTTCTGCGTCGTGATGCCACTTGGTTCTTGTCGCTGCCGCTCACGAATTCCAGCTCTGTTCTTGCAGGTAAACCGCGCCATCATGCAAACAGAGGAGGTGAAGTCGCGGTTCGGGCGGTGCCCGTACTGCCGCGCCATGATCTACCAGGACCTCAGCGCCATCATCTTCTACTGCAGCAAGTGCCGCACGCCCATCCGAGGTACGCGAGCACTGGGACGAGTTCCGGCACACGACGCTGTGTCGTGTCGGCTTCTCTGTTCAGCACCCGGTGCGATCGATTGATGGCTTCTCCTCCCGCATTGCTGCAGGCAAGAACCCGCAACCCACCGACGAGACCGAGTACGCGCTCGCGCAGCTCGAGATCCTCTCTGCCGACACCGCCTCCGTGTTCTCCGACGACGTCGAGCCGCCGATTCCGAGGTCAGCTTGGGCCATCGAGGATGACGACGGTGGGCGGCCGCCGCTGCAGAGCAGGTCAGCTACCGGAAGAAGCTCCGTGCCGAGCACGAGCAGGCAGGGCGCAGGAGCCGCGTCGTCCTCGTCGTACAGAGACAGAGACTTCGGTTCGGTCAGGGCAGGTCCAAGAAGCGGCGGCGGCGCTCTCAGCTCCGGCCCGAATCGGGATCACCAAACGGAGGCCGCGAGAAGCGCGTCGCCGCTGCACAGTCGCGTGACCCAGCTCCTGCCGTCGTCACGGCGGACCAGGCGATCGAGCACAGGCGACGTGGACGTGCGCAGCGACGCGGGATCGGACACCCAGTCGGACTCCGACGCGCCCGCGACGGCTACTACGTCTTACTACACGCGCCGGTCGTCGCCGCTGAGCTCGCAAGAACTCGAAGTGGCGACGGCCTTGTCCGGATTCGAGCCGGCTGACCTTACGAGGACGCCACTCAGTGATCCGGCGTTCCAGAAGGATCTCCTGCAGGCGCTGGACAACCTCCGGAAGCTCATCGCCGCCGTCGACCATCCGCGGAGCATCGGCGGGCACTGGCAGGGCGCCATGCCTCGGCTGAGCGCGTCCTGCAACGACGAGAGCGGCGGCAAGCGTACGATAACGAGGCGCAGCTCCCGCCTCATGCGCCGCCTGGAGTCGCAGCTCACGCGGGCGTTGCCCGCCGAGCGCCCGCGCCGAGACGCCAGCACTTCGTCCTCCTCTTCGGCGTCGAGCAGCCGGCGCGGTGGTACCAGGGCGCGGGCGCACCAATGCCGCCCGGTGCTAGGCGGCACGCCGTTCGTTGTCTGCGGCGAGTGCTCGGAGGTACTGCAGCTGCCGCCCTCCCTGCCCGCCGGCAGAGTCTCCAGGCTGCAGTGCGGCGGCTGCGGCGAAGCGTTGGAGCTGACGCTGCCGGCGATCGGCTCGACGGACCTGCCCAAGAAGATCTTTTCAGCTCCGCAGCCTGCTGCTGTCTGCGCCGGTGAGGACGCCGAGGAGTATCCGCTCACGAGAAGCAACCTGAGCGGCGAGCAGCCACGGGCGGCGGGGCTGCTGCACCGCATGCTGGGGTACAGCTCCGTTAGCTCGGTTCTACGCAGCCGGCGGTACGGCGAGTACAGCTGAGCGTGCATTCTCCTTTTTTTCATTCTTTTTGGATACTATAGGGCGGAAAGATTCAGCGGCGTGGTGATTTGTGAAAATTCATGAACGATTCTTCATTCTTTTACTATTTGTTTCATAGAATTGCTTGTAAATTGCAATGAGCCTGATTAGTTTTTTTTTTTTTTTGGTTTCCATGAAAGATGCACATTTCTTTTTCACTCATTGTGTATTCATTTTGGATACATTCGTAATGGAAACTTGTATAAAACGAGGGTATGTTAGTCTATGCTAATTACTTATCAAACTTGTTATTATTGAACGATCTGTATCTTGCGGAAACTCTAAGATTTGATTGTAAGTTCGTAGCTAACAAGAACAAGTTGGGAAATAATAAGAAAAAGAAGAAAGAAAGAAAGAAAAAGTTGCTTCAGTTGACCAAGACTGGCTGCCTGGCAGCACGGGCCCGCCCGCCAGCGAGAGAAGCATATGATCGAACACCTAACCTTCCCCCAATGAGAAATGACAGCCCATGGAGCATGGCCACTGAATCTTCCGCCGTCGTCGTCGCTGGCGACGCAAATTCCACTGAGCCATGGAGCGCGCGGGTGCGCACCCTCACGCGCCTCGGGCGGCACAGGGAGTCTCTTGCTCTCCTACGTCACGGCGACCCCTCGCCGCCGCCCCACTCCCTGGCGCTCCCGGCCTCGGTCATCTCCTGCGCAGCGCTGTCCCTCCCCGCCGGCGTTGCCCAGATACACGCGCTCGCCGCCAAGCGCGGCCTGCTCCCCGCCGCCGACGCCTACCTGCTCTCAGCGCTGCTGACTGCCTACTCCCGCCTCGGCAGCATCCGGCTCGCCCACCAGCTCCTCGACGAAATGCTTCTCGAGTCCACACCCCACACCACGCTGCGCACCGCGTTCAACTCTGTCATCTCCGGCTGCGCCCTCCACGCTCTCCCGGCGGCCTGCTTCGCTCTCTTCCGCCGCATGCGCGCTGCCGCGGTCCGCTTCGACGCGGTCACCCTCCTCGCGCTTGTCCCTGCCGCGCCTCTGAGCGTCGTGCCGCAGGTCCACGCCCTCGCTGCCCGAGTCGGGCTCGCCACCGAGACCTCCGTGGCTAACTGCCTCATATCCACATACGCGCGCGGCGGCGCGTTCGGCGCGGCCCTCGCCCGGAGGGTGTTCGACGAGATGTCGCTGGTCTCCCGCGACCTGGTGTCGTGGAACGCTGTGCTATCAGCCCACGCGCAGAACGGCCTGGCCGTGGACGCCCTCGATCTCTACCGCCGCATGCGTAGCCCCGAAGGCGGCGGGGTGGAGCCGGACGCCGTGACGATCGTCGGCGTGCTCTCTTCCGCAGCGCACCTGGGCGCGCGCGGTGTGGGATTCAACGTTGAGCACTACGTGCGCCAGAGGCTCCCGGGCTTCCGCACCAACGTGCAGCTGTGCAACGCGCTAATCAACTTCCACGCACGCTGCGGTAGCCTACCTCGAGCGCAGCAGCTGTTCGACGAAATGCCCAGAAAGAGCATCGTGTCATGGACGGCGCTGCTCACTGGGCACGGCATGCACGGAAATGGTGACGTCGCCGTCAGCCTCTTCGAAAGGATGGTGTCCGAAGGCATCCGCCCGGACAACGTCGCAATGGTCGGCCTTCTCAACAATGGATACCGTCTACAAGTTGCGGCCCACGCTGGAGCACTACACCTGCATGGTGGACCTCCTCGGACGTGCTGGCCGCCTGAAGGAGGCTCGAGAGCTCATCTCATCAATGCCCATGCTGGCCGACGGCGCGGTCTGGGGTGCCCTTCTTGGTGCGTGCAAGATACACAAAAACTTGGAGGTTGGGGAGGAGGCCTTCGCGCATGTCATCGAGCTGGAGCCGAGGAACGTGGGATACTACGTGCTCATGTCGAACATATACACTGACACAGGGCAGCCGGACGGCGTCTCGAGGGTACGGGCGATGATGAGGGAGCGCGGGCTCAAGAAGGAGCCCGGATGCAGCTACGTGGAGCACAAGGGGAGGGTGCACCTCTTCATGGCCGACGACCACTCGCACCCACAAGCGAGGAGGATCTACGAGCTGGTGATCAGGCTGGAGCTGATGGTGAAGGAGAAGTCGGGAGTGAGGGAGAGCGAAGTGGCGGCCGCCAAGGAAGGCATGGAGAAGGCGGCTGCACAGCCGCTGGTTGGGATTCACAGCGAGAAGTTGGCAGTGGCGTTTGGGTTGCTGAACACCGAGGCTGGCAGTGAGATCGTGGTTATCAAGAACCTCAGGGTGTGCGGGGATTGCCACTCGTTCTTGAAGGTGGTTTCGACCAATACCAACCGGGCGTTCCTGGTCAGGGACGCGAGCCGCTTCCATCGCTTCGATGGTGGAGTTTGTTCCTGCAAAGATTACTGGTGAAGGGCCTGGTGTTAGCCGTTGGGTGTGAGACCATTTGTCGCCTTTGAACAAGGCACTAAATGGGATGTACCGATCCAGACGTGCTACAAACTACAACGTCCTCCACCGCTAGCGCCCAATGCAGCCATGCAGGTTTGAACTTGAGGAAGATGAGCGAAACACTAGATCAGGCTAGTGCTGCACCGTGACGAGGGAACCAATCTACCATTGCTCGTCCAAACAAACCGACGGGCGACGAAGACGTAAAGCTGCACAAATGTTGCATTGTAATGCACTTTTCGGTCGAAGGGCCATCCAACCAATGCCCAGCCAAACTCACTACGTTCTGAATAGTGCGTAGTTGGTGTGGATATTTTTTATTGCATATGTACTGTAACACTGAATGCAGAATCATATTAACCTGAATCACGGCAACGGCTGCTGATAGAGTAGATAAGCTGAGAGTTGGACTTCAAAGGAGGTGTTCGAATACAGGACTAAAGTTAGGGACGTCAGATCGGGATGTCGCATCGAATTTTCAGATAGTAATAGAAAAACAAATTATAGGAGTCATCAGTAATCCACGAGACGAATTTATTAAACCTAATTAATCCGTCATTATCATATGGTTACTGTAGCACCATATTATCAAATCATAGACTAATTAGGCTTAAAAAATTCGTTTCACAAATTAGTCTCAATCTGTGCATTTAGTTTCGTAATTAGTCTGCATTTAAGTATCACCTGCATGTGTCCAAGCATTCGATGTGACAGGGCTAAACTTTTACCGGAGGGTAACAAACACAGCCAAAATGTCCAGAATGGTTTCTAATCCAGAATTTCTTCCTACAGAATTTGAGTTCAAAGTGATGTGGGATGTTTGTTTCATCTCAACAAGTACAAATTTCAACCTAGCAAAAAGGACATGCCCAAGTAATCAAGCCAAAATAAGGCAGGGCAATATATTAATTAATAATATGGACGATGACCGTCGCTGTGATGTACAAAAAGTCTTCTTGATCTATTTTAATACACAATGGTAAAATAATACTAATACATTGGTCAAAATCGTGTCCATATATATAAATCCTTTTGCTAGTTTACAAAGAATGACCTCCTGGACAGACTCAAAGCAAGGGGGGCAAAAAGGAAAACTTTGCATTCTTGTACAACACTTGATATTGTAAGCCGTCACATTCCAGTTGAGGATGTTCTTCCTATTCTTTGAGCACCAAGTTTTGGTTGCGCCGGCTTTGTTCCTCGGCCCCTACCTGATGAGGCTAAGGGTCTGGCTTTGGTTGCTGGCGGAGGTGCTGCAATGGCACCCCATAGGTCATCACTATTCGCTGCAGCTGGCTTCAAAGGCTTCCCAGATGATTTTGGAGGAGGTGCCGCTATTGAACCCCAGAGGTCATCCTCATCATTATGTGATGTTGATGGCTTGATGTCTGCAGATTTTACTGCACTTTTGGGTGGTGCAGCAACTATAGGACCCCATAGAGGATCGTCTTCTGATTTTGGCGCCTTTAGTGGGTTGGATTTAGATGAGTTTGCAACTGCATTTGAGAAAATCAAGAGAAGAAAACCAGCAAAAGTAAATGGTTATCTCATTAGTTCGGTACAATCACAAGGATGTAAAAGATGGAAATGTCACCCTATGCGAAGTTCACACGTGGGTAATTTCGAATTTGATTATGTTTGCAATAGTACAATTGTAATGAAATATGACCATGCAACTGCATGAAACAAAACAATACACTTGACAAAAGCAACTTACCGGCTTGCTTTGGTTGCACCACTGGACGTTTCTGAGCAGCCTGTATGTTGGATAGAAGAGATGGGGATGGCTTGACCTCAAACGGGTCTACATCATCCCATCCATCTTTATCACTACTATTCTCCTCATGGATATTACCATCCTCAAGCTCACCCCACCCATCTACTGAAGACCTTGCTGATGCTGGTGCAGCTTGATCAAGGGAGCTGGATGTGGATGGTGCATACGCTAGTGTGGAAGCCTGAGTGTCTGGCAATCGAATTGATACTCAATTGTAGATCTTTTAAAGTGAACAGAACTACTACAGGTGCTCACACTCAAATAGTCCACACACACACCAAAAAAAAAACTAGGATAGATGTTGCAATGGGGCATGAAGGTACTAATTACAGGATACTCGAATTGATACCCAATTGTAGGTCTTTTAAAGTGAACAGAACTACTACAGGTGCTCACACTCAAATAGTCCACAAAAAAAAAATACTAGGATAGATGTTGCAATGGGGCATGAAGGTACTAATAACAACACATGGCATTATCAATTCTTGTTTGTCATGGTTTTTCTGTTCTTTCTTGTTTGTCACCCACCAAAGGCTAGGATCAGTTCCATCCAACTTTCTGAATTTTGACCATTGATATGTGAAACCTCTAAAGTTTGATTTATATGAAAAATCATATTAACAGATTTTTCTATTGAAATTATTTCAAAGAGGTATAAATTATTTAGTAAATGTTAATACAAACTTGTAAAAGCTAGTTGTCAGATGCATACAGAAACCTACAAGTATTCATAACAATTAAGAAAGAATTGATGGGAGTACTGTATTAATCCTCTTTTTTAGAAATCTAAACCTCATCCCTTTATGCATGTGAGAACAGTAGTGATGTTAGGGATGAAAGCAATTGTGATAATTAAATTACCAATACCTGGAGCGGCAGTCGAAGTTGTTGATGCTTGAGAATTACTGGCATTTGCAGTAGATATTGGGGCGTGGTCAGAAGGTTTACCCTTTTGTGTAACAGAACTCATGGCCCACCTGTATCCAGACAAGTTTGAATAAACAACCCAATAGAATACATCAGACTAAAATAACATATCATTCAGTATGTGGTTACTGCTTAAAATCGGCATATTTTCCCAACTCTTTCACAAATGCAGGTAAATTTATTACTGATACTCAGAAGTCCATGATGCATTGGGCGAAGCTTTCAACGAGAAATATTAAGCGTGAATGATTTGATCTGTTTGGTTCCCTACCACACAAGACTTTGCCTAAGGTGTGGCAAACAATTTGCTCACCACACCTTACACAAGGTGTGACAAGAACATGTTTATGACAGGTGGGGCTGTGGCATGCCAAAAGTGTGGCAGTGAACCAAACAATTGACTCAAACTGTGGCAAAGTGTGGCAGTGAACTAAAACAGGCCCCGATTATAAACAATATTTATTTCCTTTTGGCAGCCAAGATGTAAGATAGCTTACCCAAGTAAACCTGCATTTCCAGGCTTTAACTTAATACCAGTACTTTCAGCCACCCTGTTGTCTCCTGTAGTAAGCTATAGGACACAAAATTAAAACATTAACAACATAGGAAGAGCAAAATCGACAGTACAGAAATGTAAAGTAGAATATTTACTAATTTACATTAGTAAAAATACAGCAGATGACCTTATCCCAAAAGGAGAGGCTCTAAAAACATTTTAACCTATGATCTAAACCATGAAAAGTACCAAAACCCTTGAATCTAAATGAACAAAGTTCAAATAACTAGCATTGACGAATGCTTGCCAGTTCCAATTTTTGGTATGATCCAGAACCAAGTCACCAACTGCAGTGATGCTTTTAGAGTATGTGTTTTCATTTTGGTATTGTCCAGAGGAATATTATTCTGTGATTTTTACCTTCTGCCTTACTCAAGTCTTAAGACAATCGGTGCTTCAGAACATAAAAAGAAAATACACGTGGCACACCATTAAAAGCAAAATATTGGTTGGTTCAAGTGATCCAACAAAGTGGATAGGTCGTAAGTAGGAAACTAGATATGCATACCTTTTCATGGTGTTGCTTTGCTATTTGCAAGAACTGATCGGTAGCCTGAAAAGCCTTGGTTCGGACATCACTATAGAAACATCAAAGAAATTTGCTATAAAAACCAAAACACTAAAATATGGTGCAGAAAAGTATGTTAGCAAGATATTGTTGCATTCAAAGTGGAATGGCATGAAGCACTTTTCTTTTAGCAACTGTGCATCTAGTGCTCAAACAATTTCTCCAATTTGATTTCTGTGCCACATGCTACTGAATCATGGGCCCACAATTATGACAATAGGTTATAACCAATACTCACTCCACAAAAAGGGGAAAAAAGTAGACTATGATGGACAAATGCATAGTACCATATACAGACATGGAATGAATGGTGCCATGCATTCAAGTTTGCTGACACCAACAAGGCAACAATCTAAATCAACTTGAATGTAACAAGTACTACTATTTATTAGCGATTAACATGCATATATCAAACCAAACCTAAAAGGCTTTCTTTACTGGACATGTGACCTCTGAGCCTTGTCGGCGCATTTGGAAACTTGGCCTTCTCCAAGGTCGAAGTTCTTTATTTGGCTTGTCATCCATAATCAGTGCTGGACGGCCGACAGGGTGTGTGCTCAGGAAGACAAGACAATCCATCACTTGCTGACCAGCTGTGTGCTCGCTCAGCAGGTATGGTAAGGTCATTAATGTCAGCTTACAGGACATCACACCACAGCTGGTTGATGAGGATTTTACGACATGGTGTGGATAATCCAAGGCCAAAAGATTGGAATGGATGCATTGGGCAGCAGCAGCCCGGTGAAGGGGTTGGCATTGCATAATCACCTGGCAGTAGTTGGTTTTTTTTTTTTTTTTTTTTTTTTTGCGAATACTGGTAGTAGTAGGTATTCAGGGTATGAAGGATTGGTGATCAGAGTCCTGTTCGGCTTGAGTTTGGTGATGAGCCAAGACCCAAGATAGACTAGTGCCTCCTATCCTTAATTTCCCTTCCTTGTTCTGTCTACAATATATGTGTGAAAAATACACTGATTACACTTGTGCGATCTTCACCAAAACACATCCTTCCCTGTGCCCAAGATGGTATGCCTGGTCTAGCACCATAAAAACCTTACACGCAGTCATCTATTTCGGATCCCCAGAAGTTTTACAGGGATGAAGCCTGTTATTACCAGCTAACAAGGAGAAAGTAG